AACTAACTTCCAATATTTTTCTCTGTCAGATTGTTTCAACATATCTTTTCCTATCTCACTTCTTTCTATCATTATCTTAATCTCTCTCTTTTCTCTTGCTCTCATCCTTCTATTCGTTGTCTCTACCTCTCTCTCCATCTCTCTCTCTCTCTCTCTCTCTCTCTATCTATCTCAATTTCTTTTCCTCTTCCACAGTTCTCTCTATGTGACTCTCCCCTTCTCTCTCCTTCTCTCTCTCGCTCTCTCATTCCTCCGCTCTCTTTCTTCCTCTATCTTTCTCAATCTTGTTCCACCTCCCTCTCATTCACTACTTCTCTCTTTACCTCTCATTCTGTCTTTCTTCAACTTTCATTTTCAATTGTGCATCAAGCAAAGTTTACTAAAAATACTTCCCTACGAATTTCCCATCCCATAAAAGTCTAACCGTACATTAAACAAGTATATATACATAGGTATATATACTTTATATATTTTTCTGTTACATCCATCTTCCGATGTTCTTCATAGGAAATATGCTGTGAGAATTCACTCCAACTCTTACTTCTTGCACTGAACACAAATCTCAAGTTCCGTTTTAATTACGCTGTGAATATTTTCGTAAGCTCTCCTACTCACTCTACCTGTCTCTCTGCATTCGTCTCGCTTTCTGTCTCCGTGTTGCCCTATATTATATTTTGTATATTTCTTATTTGATTTCTCAAGCAAATAATTGAATTTAATTTCTAATTAGTACAAATAAAAAAGAGCTGGCAAAAAGTCAACAAATGCCAAAGCCACTGCCACTGAGCGTGAGCAAGATGGCTAGCTAGGCAACACCCTCACACAGTCACACACTCACACACTCACACTCACATGCATAGAAACGCAGCCACTTTGACGCTAATGCAAATTGCAAATACTCCTCCCCTCGCTTGGCGACAGCGCTGCCTTCGTTGCTCTCGCTGCTGCTGCTGCTGCTGCTCAGCCACTTTATTAGCGTATTTTGCCTTGCAACTGTTTATGCGACACACACACACACACACACGCAGACATATGTACACAGTCAGCGCGTCAACTCACACATGAGCCACGAATTAGTCATTTTGTTGGTTACTTGATGCATGTCTCTGCCCCACTCCCACAGCTCTCCCCCTCTCTCCCCGTCTCTCTCCCTCTCTCTCTCTCTCTTTCTCTCTCTTTCTCTGTGCTGCTCTCGCCCACCCACACAGACAATAAACGCACACACACTCACACTCGCATAGACACTGCGGCTAGCTGAGTGAACCAAAATGGCGGCCAAGCAGCAGCAGCAGCAGCAGCGGCAGCTGGCAGGAGTCGGCAGGCAGGAGCCGGCAGCCAGCAGAAAGCAGCAGCAGCTATTTCCACGCTGGGCGACATTTTTTATGCGCTTTTGAGCAAATTAGATTTCCTAATTAAATTTTCTAGTGAAATGCGCATAAATTTCATAAAATTCACTTCATGCTGTTGGGCGTGGCGCGTACCAGTCGCCTCCTCCCTCTCTCCCTCTCTCCCTCTCTCCCTCTCTCCCTCTCTCCTCTCCTCTCTCTATGTCGCTGTCTCTTTCGGGATGCTGTCGCCTTTCATTTGCTGCAACATTTTTCGCTGTGGAATTTTCGTGTCGTCGTCTGCTTAAAGTAATTAACTAAGAAAATTTTAATTGCTAATATGTTGTGATGCATGTGCGTGTGCGTGTGTGTGTGTGTGTGTGTGTGTGTGAGGGTCGCTATGTGCTGGTGCTGCTATGGCTGTGTCTGTGTGTGGTTGTGTGTGTGTGTGTGTGTGGCATTGGCCTGCCTCGACTTTTATGTTGGCAAAACTTTCAATAATAAAGCTGGCTACATATACATGTGAGTGTGCATATACTCGTGAGTGTCTGTGTGTGTGTGTTAGTCGGCTTCTGTGTATGCGTGTGCTCATTAAAAGTGCGCTGGGCTCAAGTGTAAGCAGAGAGCAAGCGAATTTAATGTTGCCTACTTTTGTGCGCGTCTAACTAACTAATTTCGCACATTTGCTCATCAGCATAATTGCATAATTAGATTTATGCAACACACAAACATAGTGTTGATTAGCGTCAGCCAGCGCGTTACATTATTTATAACACTAATTGGACACGCATTGAACACAAACAAGTCGTAGGCCATATCGATAGATCTTACGTTAATTTTTGGATAATTGCTGATTGACAAGAAATCTAATTGGATAATACATTGAATTAGTTAATTACTAGCTGGATGGGCGATATTGAATGGGCAGTGGATTGAAATTGAAAGTGAAAGCTGAAGTGTTAAAAATTTTGCTAGAGAACATTCAAGGTTAGAGTGAATTGAAGACAAAAAATGTGCCCTTCAATATTGAATAAGAATTGAATATAAGTTGAATCAATGACGTTTAACCAATCAAAATATTTTATGAATGATGACTGTGAGTGCGAGAAACTTGGAAAATACAGTTGAGCTTCGCTAATTCGTACTCCGTTAAATCGAGAACCGTGATAAATCGAAGAAATTTCTATTCCCTTTAAAGAAATTTGCTCTCAATAATTTTCGATAGTTTGAATTTCTGTGTAAATCGAAAAAAAAACAAAGGATCGCCTTGCCAATTCGAATTATCGGAATTCTATTGTGTATTGAATGAACTACTTTATAGATTGAAGTTCAATACTGATTAGCTGAAATTAATATATGAATGAATATATAATATGAATGAATAAGAATAATAATATATGAATGGAAATACAAATATTTCTTTGAGAAATAATTGAAGGAATTTTTAATGTAATTGTGAGCAAGTAATATTTTTCCTGTTCAATATTGAATAGGCATTGAAGTTGAAGCCATATATTTTTTTATTTATTTTATTTTTTGGTAATTGCAATGGTTAAAATTATAAAACTTGTATAATATTAAACATTTTAAAAAAGCATATTGAATGAATATGGCATATAAAAAACAGATTGAAAGTCAATATTGAACAGGCTTCTGGTAAAAAATTAGAAAAAAGAAAAAACTGAAAATCGAATTGAATTTTAATCGACGCTTTAAATGGTGTTAAATATGATATGAGGCTATCATACGAACAGCAATTAGGAGCATCAACAATTGGAGTTAATGCGAATTAGAAACGAATTGAAGGGCTCAGCACACACACACACACACAGGCACACAAATTGAACGTATTCAATGCGGATATTGTCTGTTTGCTTGTGTATGAGATTTTAGGCAATTGCCTTTGCCGCATTTCGTCTGTAATTCAAGATGCCACAAATCGCATTCATTACACTGCGATTCCACTTCAGTACGCTGCACTCACAATCATTCACGCATCTTTAGTGGAAACAAAAAACAACAACTATACATATGAATACGTATGTATATATATACATACATATTTATGTATATTTGTGAGAAGGATACACGTCAGCGCTTCACTTGAACAACTCGACAGCGACAGCGACAATAACAACAACAACAACAACAACAACAATCGACTACATAAATATGCTTCTGCTTAATTTTTCATATCGAATTTCAATGCGAATTGGTTTGGAGTAAAGCGCGCACACATGAGTTTGCTGCATGTTTTCAGCGTCTTTTTCATGCCCCTGCTGGTTTCTTTTTGTTGTTTTACTTTCCTACAAAAAAACAAAAACAAAATCAAATAAAAACCAGCTCTATTTGCTATTGGATTTTTGCCTTTGTCTTGCGCTCTCTATCCTCGTGTGTGTGTGTGTGTGCGTGTGTGTGTTAGTGCTTGTGTTTTTCCGGGTGCTTCAATCCTCATCGATTTGCCTATTGAAAGGCAGCCACAAAATTTGCTGGCCTCGGAGGCTCGAGGCAAGTGGCGCTGATCGGCGGCTAGACGAGATCCCCTTCAGGCAGCGAAAAGTGCCTGTCAACACGCTCATCATCATGCTGATCATCATCATCATTATGATTGTCATACTCGGCAGCCGCTTTCACTTTTCCCCAGCGCTGCGAGGGTCACGACGATGTCAAGTGGTGTCTTCCTTGAAGCAGCCTGCGAAGGAAGTGCGAAACTAGATACAATTATTAAATATTTAAAATAACATTGTCAGCCAGCCAGCCAGCCAGCCACCAGCTAGCACAGTCTGTGGAAAGAACAACAAAAGAGATACAAACTCAATTCAAACTAAACTACTGAAAACAGAAGCACTCAAAGTCGCGCTTCAGCGACGCCTCAAATAGGGGCAGCCAGTCGTTCTCCCTCTACCTCTACCTCTACCCCTGCCCCCTCCCTCACCCTGTGTGGGAGGAATTTTTCAGAGTGTAGGTCATGGGAGCAGCACTTAAAAAAAAGAAAAAAAAAAAAAAAAAAAAAAAAGGCTGTGAACTAATTCTGACAAGGAAATGAACAGAGCGAGAGAGAAAGCAAGAGAGCGGAGAAGAGCTAAAGTTGAAATGGAATTGAAACTAAGTTGGTAGTTGAATGAAAACAAAAGTTGAGCTTTAAATATTGAAGAGACAGAAATAGAGCGGAACAAAAAATGAGAGTGAAGAGAGCATAGCTTATATTAAGATAGATAGAGAGAGACAAAGAGAGAGAGAGGGAGTGGGGGTGGGATTGAACTGAATATTGAAACATTGAATGGGTTTGCTAATTGATGACTATAAAAGATTGAAGTATAGAAAATCAATAAAAAGAGAGGAAGAATGGAAGTAGAGAGAGAAAGAAAGAAAGAGACAACATTAGTTCAAGTACAATTAATAATAATAATTTAACTGAATATACGACTGAATTGAACGTTTAGGTGAGAAAGTTGAAGGATGGAAGACAGCTAAAACAGAGATTGAAATTGAAAATCAAATTGCTTTGAAAATGAATTGAATTGAATATCAAATACAAGTCGAGCTTTGGAGTAAATAGAGCAGATGTAGAGCTAAACATTGACATTGAAATAATAATCAAATTGAAAGTTGAATGTTGAAATTGAGATTGAGATTGAAATTGATATGCGATGAATACCAAATTGCCCATTGCAGGTTCGTTGGCTGCCAAGGACTTTGGCATGGATGGCTTAAATGGCTTCGGTGTTGGTCCCGGCCTGGGGCCCAATGGCAAAAAGAAGAAGAAGAAGCGTCGGCACAGCCGCACCATATTCACCAGCTACCAGCTGGAGAAGCTGGAGGAAGCATTCAAGGAGGCCCATTATCCCGACGTCTATGCCCGCGAGATGCTCTCACTGAAAACGGAACTGCCGGAGGATCGCATACAGGTGAGTCATCCAGATCGAATAGAGCTGAGCCGAAGACGCGGCCAGGTAATTTGATCCCGTTCGCATTCATTGCGCTTAATGAATTAACGAACTAATTACATCCTGCTGGAGCGAGGTGTTGTGTTGGCAAAACACAAAACAAAAGCCCAGCTGAAAGAGGATTCCATTTGGGCTCGGGATGTTTGCGATTGAAGGCAAGGAATTTGCATTTCCTTTTTGTCTCGTTGTCTTTGTTTGGATTTCTCTGCGCTGATTTTTCACACCTCCAAGCGCATTGTTGTCAGTGCCTCGTCCTGCGTCCTGCGTCCTGCGTCCTTCCCACTTGCTTTCTGCTGCACTGTGCTGCCATCCTGTCAGAGTCCTAATAGGCAATCAACCTCAGCAGCCGCTCAAGTGCAGCTCCAACAGTCGCTGCATATATTGAGCCAGCCGAGTCCTGCCAAAAAGCACTCGGCATAGCCGCGTCAGCTTGCCATAGGGGAGGGCAAGGGGCGAGGGGGAACGGAGACGCAGACAGAGACTCGTTTTGGGAGGCTTCAAAAAATCAGCTACGTTTGCGAATATATAATTAAGCATTTTAATGGCCATTATTGTTCTAGCTAAATGTCAGCGACGGCTGTGCGAGCGAGATGGCGCACTACAGAGCGAGGCGGCGGAGGGAAGGGAGGAGAAGTGTAGTGTGAGCGAGAGAGATTGCGTGTGTTTTCATCGAGTGAACTTGAACGTCGACAAATTGCCACCCTTAAAAAGCTTACGCTCTCTCTCTCTCTCCCTCTCACTCTAGTGCTCTACCACTCTCGCTCTCTCGCTTGCTCAATGTGTTTGATTAGCACGAAAATTTATACGAAAAGTACGCAAAAAAAGAAGCAAAAATTGTGTAATTATGGCGCAGTTACTTCAGCCAACCCCTTTCCCCCTCCCCCTCGCCATCTGCCCTACAAACGAAGCGAATTTGCCCTTTTACCCGCATTGAGTGCGCCACTCACGAAACGGGTAGCCGCCTTACCGTTAGCGGGTATGAGCAAGGGCAATGGCAACGGCAATGGCAACTGGAACGGGCGAGCTGCAGGCTGCTCCCATTCCCATTCCCATTCCATTCCCATTCCCATACCACATTGTTCGCCCGTTCTTAGGGAAGCAGCTCAAGGGCCGAGGCACTCAGCACAGACTCAGCGGAAGACTTGACTTGCAGTGCGTCGACTGGAGGGAGGGTGTGGTGCTCAGTCGGGCACTACCGCTAATATCGGTATGTGTTGGCATTTAAGGCGATTTCATATCTAACTATCGATTGCCTAAGCTGCCAGAACAGAAACCTGTGAGGTCTTCAAATCAAAACAAAATTCAATATCAACAAAAATATCGCTAGAATATCGATACACAGACGTAAATATATCGATGAATATGGCTTATTCATTATCAAGCTGATAATGCTGACAAACAACCTGTACATACTGTATTTATTGATGTTGCTTTTAAATCGATAAACACAATATCGATAAGCAGCGCCAAGGAATCTATTCGATATGGAGTAAAGGCAAAATCGTTACCTATCGCTCCAAGTAAGAGTAATACATTTGAATGTTATTCTTTGCTATGTAAATATTAATACAGTTGGATCGATAAATATCGACAAACACTATTATCAAGACATTATCGATAAGTAGTTAGTCGATTAACAACATATGAACATTATATTTATGTATCTTGCTTAAAAATCATATTAAAAACTTTTCATGAAATGTATCGATAATATCTATATATCGATATATTTATAGGCCAATATGTAAAAACACAAATTGATGCTAAGTATTCACACAACTTTCTCATATTTATTGATTATCAATATACAAAAATATTTGCTATCGGTAAATATCGATCACATTGTAAAAAATACATTCAATATCAGAATTTACTGAGAGCCAGCATATGCCTAATGCTCATATTAATACTAGTCAAATATCGCTAATAGGCTTATCGATACATATCGCAGCTATTATACCTTGGAGTGGGAATAGTTCGATTTGAGTATTACTTGGCCCAGTATCTAGTGGGCTATCGCTATGCTCTTCTAATTACAGTAACCATTTAGTTGCACGAGTTCAGCTTTATTAACTTCGTCAGCAGCCAATGCTTTGTGGCATCGCCACATAACCTCACACTCAATCTGGCCCTCTCAGCCTTGCCTTGCCCAGGCGCTGACGAGCCTCGAGAGCCTAATCCCAGTGCTAATGCTCGCACAGTTAGCCCATAGTTTCAGCAGGAGCTGCAGCATCTGAAAATTGAATTTCGAGTGTGTAAAATTTTCCAATTATAGACTTTGGAGTAGTGCATATATATATACGCACACACACACACACACACACACACACACACAGACACGTGTGAATGGGCACCCTTGAAGGAGCTTTGCTTTTAGCTTGCTTGGGGCCACATGAAGCATTGCTAAAAGCGAGTCCAATTAGTAGCATTACAACTAACACTTCAATTCTGGCCCTGCCTTGCACTAGCACGCTCTCCCTCTCCCTCTGCCTGTCTCTGTCTCTCTGTCTCACTCACTCGACGCTGGGCAATAACGGCAATAGTCATCAGCAGCAACAACTGAGGCAATGGCGCCAAAGTACGGCCATTTTGTGTGTAACTGTTGTGGGTTTGCCTGCTGAGAGAGCAAGAGCGAGAGAGAGTGAAGAGGAGAGTGAGCGAGGTGGGCAGGAGCAGAGGCGTGCGTGCGAGGGGTCGCTGCTTGGAGCTAGCGTAAATTTGCATTTAACGTTGTTTGCGGTGCCCGCAAATAGTCAACGACTGTCAGTGTGTGTGTGTGTGTGTGTATGTGTGTGTGTGTATTTTGCTTACAGGCATGTGCGTGTACACACACACACACACATAGCTTGGCAGCTCAACAGTTAGACAGCCACAAAATACTCTAAAGACCAAACGACCGCAACGCAGCAGCTGAGCTGAGACTACGACCGTCAACACACACACACACACACACACACATGTACACACATAGCAACTAGCCTGCAAATGTCATGCAAAATAACAGCACTATTTTTTTTTTTTTTTTTTGAGTGTGTGTGTGTGTGTGAGTGCCGACAAAAAAGACTTTAGAAATTGACTTGATGGCGCCCCAAAAAAGAAACTAACAACATCACGCACACCCACACACACACTCACACACTGTCATACACACACACACACACACACACACATGCAGAGCAACGCCCGCTTGTCGCATGTGTTGCATATTTTCAGGCACTTAAGCTATTTGCTTGAAATGCGCACAACAACACACAATACACACAGACACACGCACACTCACACACACACACACACGCACAGAGTTATCATGTGTGGCTGCAGCTTGGCTACAGCCTCACCACACACACACACACACACACACACACACACACACTCACACATATGTATATATAGCCGCCCACTTTTAGCTGTTGAACCCAAAAAGAAGCACTCGGTATTGATTTTAATTGAAAAATTGTTAATTTTCCATGCCAGCAGCAGTAGCAGCAGCAGTAGCAACAGCCACGCCCCTAGACAACACACACACACATGCAACGGCGCCGCTCTTGAAGCTTTTTGTGTGCTGCCAATTTTACAGCTGCATATGTGTTAGTTAGAGCAAGACTATATCTATGTGTGTCTCCCTGTGTGTGTGTGTGTGTGTGTGTGTGTGTGTTGCTGCTGCTGCTGATGTGTTCTGTGTCTGGGTAATTACACATTTGTGTGTGAATAATTTGCAACCCCGCACAGAGGGCCCGGACTGAAATTTCGTTCGTATTTGGCTTTGGAGAATTTTTGTATTTTAAATTTGCATTTTAAGAGTTCGAATTTCGGTTTTATGCTAAAAATTTACAAATGGAATGTGCCGGGCTTTAACTACGAATGCACGCACACACAGACAGTGAGCTCAGTTGTGTAAGCAATTAGATGTAAATAGGAAATGCAGAATTAAAAATTTGATATACGAAAGAATTCGAGTTCTATATAGATGTGTGCATATAAAAACTTGATTTTAAAGCTGGACTTTATGTATGAAAACTTGAAAATATTCGCAATGCTGGAATTCCACAACTTAAAGAAGATGTAAAATAATATCTTAGATTTAAGAATTTACTTCCATATAATTTACTTCCATATAATATGCAAGCTACGTTCAAAAAGTTCGCCAAATTTTTTATTGCTTACAAAAAATGATTATTGATTAATTATTCATAAATGTATTACGATTTATTTGATTTTATAATTTATCTATTATTATTAATATTATTATGATGTAAAGCATAAGATTGTTCTACTTCTATACCATATAGATAATTCTATATAATTAGCTATGTTCAGAATATGTCTTAAATTTTGTTTAAGTATTTCTTAGTTCTTTTTTTATTTTAATTTTTTTTTAATTTTTTTTTTTTTTTATTTATTTATTTCTTTTTTTTTTCAATCATCATCATCAACAACTTTGTTTTATTGACTTCTTCTTTACTCAATCTTGCTTCTGTTTTTACGCAATTATCATTTCTCCTGGACTATTTAGTTTCAGTAAACATTATTAGTTTCAATAAACATTATTATTTAATATTATTTCAAGAAATATTGTTTGGATTTATATAGCCTTCCATTATAAAATGTCAAACCAAATTCAACTCTAACGAGTTTTCAGATAAACCAACTCAAAGCTGTGAGCCTCTACACACCCTAAATATTCTTACGTCTCATTAAAAATTACATACTCTCGAGATTTGCACTAAAGCAAAGTAAAGTCCTGAGCCCCGTATACGAATTTATGTATATTATTTCATGCAATATTTTAGCATCTATTTATCACAGTTAAGTGTGAGCTGAATTCTCAAAAGTTAAACCTATAAGTTGAAGCAGTCAATGTGATCTAGAATTGGTAGTAAATCAATCAGTTAATATTATGAATATATATGTATGTATATATCATAGATCTTTGCTTATAGATGGACAGCTCATGAATTTTA